GTACACAATCTTTGGCATCCCTCTTCCCACTCTTGCTTATCCAACAAGGGTATTCATCGATCAATTTTGAATGTTGTTTAAATAAATGAGGTTTAAATAATTGACCATTTGTTAGCAACCTCCAATATTCAAAGGATTTTGTTGGACATAACCTGTAAACCTTGTAGATATGGTCAGTTGGGGAGATTATATTGAAAATATAGTTTAGATTAAATAATAAATAATAAAAATATTGTTAAAATTAGATTGTCAGGTAGTTTAGTTTGCAAAAAAAACTAAATAAATAAATTTTTAATCTTAAATCTCATCTTAAATTTCAAATTTCAATAAATTTAAACACAGAATTCAATTCTGATGTTTCAATAAATATCATTAGTACCTAGAATTTGTCAATTCCGATGTTTTTTAGCTCAATGTAACCATTTAATTGTTAAATATTTAAAATTTATTGTAAAAAAATCAAGAACTTCCAATTAGATTCCCGTAGAACTAATTGATACTTATGTGGTACTAATTGATACTCATTAGGAACTAATTAATTTTAACAATATTAGGAATACGCATTCTTATTTGTTGGTTCTACCGGACGAATTTTTTTTGGGCTTGATTCAATGGTTGAATCTTGTGGAGTTTTCTTTTTTCATTAATAATCTAATTTTCTAAGAACTGGTTTGCTGCAATAGGAAGATTCTTTCGAGTAATATTTCAGTAACTCGATGACTAATTCTCATATATCAAGAACTAAAATGATAACCCAGTCAAAATGGTCATCTACTCTATAGAATCCTAATCTACCTCGTTGTATTGATGTCTCTTGCTTATTTTGTGAGATAATCTCTAGTAGCTATAGATTTACACATCCATCGTATCTCTCATTAGGTAAATATTAATATATGTTTCCTTGAATGATAATATGCATTTTTTATTTTGTTGGTTTTGGTTACCTTTTTGTCATATTGTATGCATTGATCTTTGTTCCGATTTAGTGATAAAGAAATATTATGTGAAGCAAAATATGACTGCATATAGTTTTCAATCTATTTTCGGCATCTGAACTTTCACTACCCCATAGATGGTGTTATATACCGGGTCAGTATCTACAACTATGTCGTAGTCGCTGCACCTGACATCCGCCAACAGGGATATGGCCCACGCCACATCCCTATCTACTAACAGCCTCATAATTATCGACTTGCCAGTACCATTTCTGAAAAGTGAAAGACGTGTAATTTTTTTCCCTTCTAGAAAATGAAGATCTCTAGAAATACATTCACAGAGTTATTGTAGGATGAAATCGAATGGAATTGAAACGTGCCCGATAATGAACCCTTGATAATTGTTGTGCTCCTCCCAACTAAAATCGTGGCTAACAATGATCACATAATGTTCCCGCATTGATTGATTTAATTCTTGAAAAAGTGTAAAAATAAAATGGGTGGGGATTAATGATACATTGTGTAAGAATATTAAAGAAACATTGTATTTAAGGTTGCTGATTACAGTGGAATGTTCAAACCAATTAGTTAGGTTTGTTTAAAAAAATTAAACACATTTTAAACTTGTTTGAATCATATATGTGGATTTGGTGGTTTAAATTTTGTGGAAAGATTTTAGGAATTATATAGATTTTGTAGTTAAAGGTGGTTTCAATATGATATAGGTAAATTTTCTTGTATAACATTGCTAGTTTAGGAGAGATTTAAGGGGATGTAGGAGGCATAAAACGAATGGAGAAAGACTGCAAGGACAATATGGGCATAAGATGTGTAGAGGGATAAATAAGTAATTATACAAGGAAACCAACTTTGGCCATGTCATGTAATTTAGAAAAACTTTGACCATTTTGCTTAAGGATAACCTGAGTAGCCATTCCTAAGGATTTCCCTTTTTTGTTTTTGTTTTTTTTGTTAGAATTTGGTACACGGATTCGAAACTTCGATGTTTTTGTCTATAACATTACCTAACCAATTAAGTTAGGCTCAAGTATAATTTTAAATAGATTAATTAAATGTTAATTATAAATTTTATATGTAACGTTACAAGTCCATAAATTAAACCGTTAATTTAACCTTATTTTGATAATATAAATATTAAAATTTGAAAATACATTAATTATTACTTGAAAGGTCTATGATGGTCTTAGAAGATAACAATGCTTATTTTATGAACGTGGGACTATTCTATTCCTTTATTTTCCACACTTCAATTTCCCATTCACTTGAATACCATTTTAAACAAATGAACGCCTTATTTTAATTATCTTGTAAAAGATAATACATGTATCCCTAGAGAATCATTCAAAATATAAATATATAATACGAGACTCACATATATTTTGGCTCTTAACCGTATCAAATTTTCTCTTTTTTTTTAGCAATCTATCTGTGATAGTGAAAACTAAAAAGTAAAAAGATTTAACTCTAATTATAAAGTATAATGGTATTAAAATTCCGAAGCTTAAGGTTAGGTTTTGAATCTTCTCACAAGTATATATTCGCTTTCTTGATCACTAACCAACTGCATAGATTTAAATTTTTAAAATTGTCCGATATATCTTTTACACTAAATCATTTTTTATCACCACTTAGTTCTCGTTGTTATGCTCGTTTGGACCCTCAAACTTTTCTTAATCCAACGAGAGAGTTTCTAAAACTTTCAGCCTAGTATAACTCTTCATTTATCACTTTAAACCTAACACATTGAGATCTCCAGCAAACTAAATTCAATGTCTTTTGAATTAACTTGTTCATTATTTATGATCTTTTAATATAATTCCTATTCAAAGCTTGACTAAATTTTTTTAAAAATATATATATCATTTTGTATTATTTTTTCTGGTAAGCCAAATATCTTTAAAAAAAAATTTAAAACCAAACCTCAAGCTAACTTCTCTCCAAATGAGAGTGCAGGAGGGAAAAAAATGCACATGGAAATCTCACTTCTCCAAAATGGTCTCCCTCCTATATCTCAAGATTTGATTTATATACATGGACTCAATTTTCAATTTCTGAGAAATAAATATTTGATAATTGTTATTGTTTCTCGTTTTTCATTTTTATACCGAACTTTTACTTTTATAATTTAAGATTTTAGAGAACAAAAAATAAGAAATAGTTATTGGTAAGTATGTTTTTTATATCTCCTTTTTTTCAACAAAAACAAAAGATAGTTACCAAATACAATTATTTTTCTTCAAACAAGAAATAGTAAATGGGACACACAGAAAAAACCAAAACAAAAAACTAGTAACGTTACCAAACGAACACACATCTTTCAAATTCCAAAAAGATCAAAGGAGATTATGATTATGAAACAAGAGAAAGAAAGAAAAAAGAATCTAAGGCTGGGCTGAAGGGAGGCGATGAAGAACAGAGTGCTCAGGCTTGTGATCGCACTCAAAATCCAAATGAACAAAGGCCCTTTCAACTTCCCCCAACTTCTCTATCTTTATCTGCAATGTCTCCCCCACTGCATGAGCCTCTTTCAATGGCAAATCCTCTGGCAGCTCTATATCCACCTATATTTATAATATACATAGCTTGTAATTTCCTTTTAAATCTCATCTTTACATCAAAACAAMGTCGTATTGAAAAACGCATGCATGTCCCAACAAAGGAACGACAAGAATAGTTAACTGTTACCTCGACGAAGTAAAGAACCCCGAAGGTGTATGCACGGACCGTGTCGACCCGTTTGATTTGAGGATGGTGTCGGAGGACGAGGTAGGTGAGTTTTTGTAGCATTTCTGGCGGAGCTGATTGCCCCACCAATGAAACTGCACATCCAATATATACCCAAAAATTTTAAAATGTGTTTTGGCTATACATCTAATAATCATGAGAGTGACAGCTATATTGCAGCATTTTAAGAGTAAAGAAATCAAACCGGCATTCTCAAGAACCGTGCCCGACCAATTTACAATGGTGTAGACAGCGAGAACAATGGCCCCAATTTGATCGATCCACCAAAAGAACTTGTCGCCCAACACCGCAGCAATCAACCCAATTACATTCGTTACCACATCGAAATAATAATCCTGTCCAAATAATTAAAATCTATGACATTTGGATAAGTAATTAAGTAATATCTTAATCATTTGAACTATATTCTCGAGTTAAATTTATCATTTATATTCATGAATAAAGTTATTTGGTGTACTCTTGATGGATAGCATTAGTTAAAATGACAATATGTGCTAACTAGTTAAAATTCTAATGAATTTTGATTTAAATCTTATTTTAGTTCTGAAACTAGTATTTATTTTAGTTCTTTTTAATTTTTACAAAATAACCATTTTTCCTTCTTCCACCCTTATTTTTCTTTTAACAAATCAACAACATATCTTCAAGTATATGCATACCAACGGCATATCAACATATCAACATGTTGGAAACAAGAATTAGGGTAGCAAAATAATATATATAGTACTACCCAACGACCAAAGTAGTTACTTTTTTAAAGTTTAGAATTAAAATAGACCGTGTTTCAAAATTGTTCAAAAATCAAAATAGTTACGTTTAAAAATAGTTGTTGAACTAAGTGAATGTTTTGAAAGTTTAAGAACTGAAACGAAATCGAAACCGAAAAAAAGAAAAGGGGAAAATGATTAATGTGTGGATGAAATGTGTAAAAAGTAATTTACCTTTGCATAGGCACGAACGATTTTACTGGTGGAGGTTCTGCAGTAAAACCAAAGGAGAAGCTTAACAGCAGTGGCCATGAGCATGATGAGAGTGAGCCATAGAAACTGGTCAGAGCTCATCTTGTCCGAGCCCTGGTTCTGGATCAGCCTCTCCACTGCCTCAACCAGCACTTGAAACCCTACCAACCCAATTAATTGGCGTTTAAGATTCTAGCTTAAAAACTTAAACAACGATTTTAAGTTTAGGGACATATTAGATATAAATTTAATTCAGATTTTAAGGACGACTTACTAGTTTAGAGATTAGAGGTCCTTGCTAGATACATTAATCTTATAAGTTTAAGATGAACGATGTGTAAAATAGAATTATAAGTTAAAGATTTGTTAGACACCACCATTAAAGTTTAGAGATTTCCTTCTCTCGATATGTTAAATTATCACTAGATTCGAAAACTTAGATAGATGGAGTTTGGTGCTGTTTATATCTATTATTTATTTTTATTTGGGCTGTGATAAACTGTTTACGAGATCTATTTGAGTGGTTTAATTTCTAAAAAAATTAAATAGTTATATATGCCATAATAATTGTTGGACAAGGGGAATAACTTTGTATAAATCAATAATCAAAGTAGTTATTTCTAAAAAATTTTAAAATTAAAATAGTATTTTTTTAAACTATAAAAACTAAAATAAAATAAAATTCCTAAGACGGAAACGAAACATATAGATCTTTAATCTTTTTATATATGTTTGTTTTTTTATCAATTTTTTATATATATTCTTTAATAATTTAATTAAACGATAAATTTAGTGATTAAATTTTTAATTTTGATAGCTAATCATAAATTCCTAAATCTTAAAGATTGTTTGATCAGGGATAACAAAATAACCTAAGTCCCCTACTTGATCGAGTCGGAGAATCTCCGATTTGATTAAGTTCGAAATTAAATCAGGGACAAAATATGGGTCCCGATCGAGACAAGGCAGAAACAAGAGGAAGAATCTCCTCACCCGAATTCGCCCCATGATCAAATATATCTAATATATCCTTAAAACTTGAAAGAATTTTCATAACTTTTAAAGTTAAGATATTCTTATGGACGCAAAATGAAAACATGTTCTCAAAACTTCATGCATTAAAAATCATAATGAGATTATAATTTTGTGATACCCAAAGTAGCCATTACAGCGGCGAAGATGATGATTCCGACGGGTTGAACCCTCAATTTTCCGATGGGATATTTGTAAATATTGATGCTTTTCATGGACATGTGTGTGAACCACAGAATCCCGCCGGCCATTAGATCCAGCAAAGAATCCAACGTCGACGCCGCAATCGCCAGAGATCCACTCCTCACCGTCGCATATATCTGCTCCGGCGCCGGCGCCGGCAGACTTTTTTCAGAGACAGAAAAAAAAAGGAACATAAAATAACCACAGCAATGAAAGGCATTAATGAAACCTTGAAAACGAGGAGGAAAACGTTTGCCCAGTTTGAGACATTGATGGCTGTCTCGTGTCGGGCTTGTTCTTGTTCTTGATCTCGATCTTGCGCCTCGGTATCGCTCGCCGGAGACTCTCCGGGCGATTCGAGACCGTCGACTTCCTCGAACGATCGGAGGGTCGAGAATTGTCTCTCGTAATATTCCCTCTCTCCTACATACAGACATTCATATAGCACCAAACAGAACAAATTCTAATTTTCAGAGCACCCAGAATATTTTTTGTACATACATTACTTTTCTCTACTGACAATCTCGTGCTCCTCGATGCTAAACGCTAAATTTTTGTTTGATATCCGATATAAAAATTAAATTTACTCCATCCGTCAACTAAAGCTTTTAACTTTTAGGTAGATCGAGGAATAGTTTATTCCTTTTTAATATAATATCAACGGAGTCCTTAACCTTTTAGTTTAGGGATAGTTTATTCTTTTTTAATATAGTATCAGCGGAATCTTTAATTAAATTTATTCAATTCATAGTTCATAGTTTATAGTGGGTAAATGATTATTATTATTTTTTCTTGAAAAAGGACTTTTATTTCTGCATTTCCTTTTTTTTATCTGTAAAAAATTTACTGATAGGCCGTTAGGAAGGGTGAATGAAACTTAATCAGCAACTCGATTATGTTTTTTAGGGAATTACAAAAATAACACAACATGAATATGAATTTTTATATATTGCATTGGTTTAAAACTTTACAAAGATGAAATAAGTTGTAAATTTATACAAGACCAACAAAAATAAACTACTTTGGTGATATTTTTGAAAAACAAAAAAAGTAAGGATACTTAACTACGTTTTTATTTTATGTCATTTAATATAATTTCCCTATGTTTTTTAACAAGTAAATGAAAAATAAAATAAGAGAGAAAGAGAGATTAAAAAAAAAAACTAATAGTGGTTGAATTTTTTAYGTTGGTCAGTAGGAAGGGGTGAGTATTATTCAGAAATTAGTTGTTCAAATTTGATAAAGATCAGAAACAAAGATTTATGATCTAATACATTTATATATTTTATAAACTTTAGATTTAAAATTGGTTGTTTATGTTGTGTTGTTTAAAAAATGATAGTAATTTTAGTCCATCTTAACATAAATTACATATCCAATAATTAAAACTCTTTTAATACAAAAGCTATATAGTTCGTAAGAATTTTCGTGTTGATTGTCTCTAAAAATTGGATAGTTATTTAATTTTTTTTTTCTTTTTTATTTTCTCTATCTTTATGCGTTTCTCTCTTACTTATCAGAAACATAATAATAGTCTGCAAGAAGGACCAAAGACCAATTATTAGCCTGATATTATTCTYTCAAGAAATGTTGAAATGGAAAAATGAGATATAAAACAGGAAAATAAACCAAACAAAATGATTATTTGGATAGAAGTGGACTAAAATAGACATTTAAGGACATAARCAGATATTGTCATATTTTTAAACATAGTAATAGGATTATAATTTTGCAAATATATAATTTTTTTTAAATTTTTTGATTGTTTAATTTGGACATGGTTATTTTTGTATATTACTCATTTAAGATCTGCTAAGATAAACTTTATCATTGATGTAATCTATCAATCTATAGGTGGGATACAACATTTTTTAAACTATTTTAGCTCTTTTCAAGGAATTTTTGGTATCTACCATATTAATTAAATTTTGTTATGTCGTATATGTCAGAGTAGTCCTCTTTTGTTAACTAAGATAGAGCGAGGGCGAGACAATTGCCCTCCTCCTTTCTTCTTTCTTCTCAATCAAATCTCGTCAAGAAAAGAAATTTAATTGAGACATGAACAAAACTTTTGAATTGAGTAGTGATACGTASCTTCCATTAAACCATGCGTTTTGGAGAGATCAAAGAGAAGCGGAGTTTTAGGATCGAGCCCAGAGCGAACTTTGTCTGGCAAATTGGAAAAGAAGACATTTTTGAGACATGAAACTGAGTTATTGTTGGCGTGAGAATGAGAAATAATTCTTCTTCTGCTTCCTCTTCCACTGATATTTTCTTCTTCCCCATCATCGCTATTATCAGATAACATAATGGCTTCTTTACACCTTCCATTATTTTAAAAATCCAGCTATGGGACCTAATTTTTCTCGAGAAAAAGTTGGATTTTTTTTTTCTTTCTTGGGAAAATGATAGGGATCTTGGTTTAATATATAGAGAAAAAAAACTAGCATTCACCGTTTTATTTTTTTCCTTTTGGAAATGATAGTACCTCTTTTATTGACCGTCATTATATTTTTAAAAAATAAAATAGCGTAATGTTTTTAATAGTAATYAGTAAGAAGATACATTTATTTACTTAGTGCCGGATAAATTGAAGAAAAATGAGGTCAATTCATAGGTAGCCTAATATAAATTCGTATTTTTAAATATAATAAAACAATTTAATTTTGTAAAAATAAAATAAAAGTAAAACTCAAATGTAAGGTAAAAATTTCTCTTTGAAATTTTTCTACCCTAGCAAGAGAATTAAATATGCTTTCTCTTGAAGTGAAGAAGTAGGAATGTTTTACCTTAACTAATGTTTATGTCCACAAATTAAAATTTTTATTGGCTTTGTATCTATGTTTTCTAAAATTGAAGTGTTCTGTATCAATACGAGAAGTTAATTAATTTTTTTTAATCATTATTAACGTAACCCTAGCTAATTTGTTAAGATATCTCTCACTTGTTCTAAAATATATAGATTTGAAATCTCGTATTTGTATTTGTAGTACTAAAAAGACTGAATATTTTATTATACTATAAAAATATCCATGAAATATTAACAAATATTAACAAAATATCATTGATATAAATATACATACAATTAATTTTTTTCCAAAAATTTTCAAATCTCCAGCACCCTTGTGGGACGTATAACGACGACTCTCATTCATCCCTCTAAATTAGAAATTCTTTTATAATTATGATATTCCCATCATCTCTCTAAACTAGAACGCTTTTATTTGGCCTCCTATTCATGTATATTTTTCACATATTTTTTTTAAAGGGATGATGTGTTGCCCCCTTTTTTTAAATACATATATATACTATTAATAAATTTTATACTTATTTTACAAAATGTGATAGGCTTATTTATTAATTTGAATGTTTTATTTTTAAGGATTTCCTGATTTACATAAGTTATTTTCAATAATATTCATGAATATACACTTGTATTTTGTAATATATTTTAATAAAATTGAGGAATCAATATTTTCGTCAACTTTTTCATTAAATTTATATCTAATCCACCCAAAATCTTATCTAAACCTTAAAGCGTAGTCGTATGTTACTTTGCATCTTCCTTTATGTCAATTAATTGAAACATTTTTCTTGAATCGGGTGCCCTTGATCCTCTTTTTTTTTTTTTTTTGTTCATTTCCCTAGTCATTGGAATTTAACAAACATGAAAAGACACACTAGAATTTTAAGAGATATATAAAAAGGACTAAAATAAAGAGGCGATAAAGATTTAGAGGGCATTTCATTTTGCATATGTATGCATACATATACGCAGGGGAAGCTTATAAGGCACCTTTTCTACTCGTTTAATGTAGTATTCGGGGAAATCATTAAACATAAATCTATACTTGACACAACTGAACAATCTCAAAATAATTAATATCATTAACAAAGTAGCAATTTTTTCTGCATAAATGAAATGTGTTTAAAATCATTTGTCACATTTTTGTATGTCGTAGATTATTAAGATGGCTTAGGTAATTGTCATGGAATACTTGAAAAAWTTTTTTTTCTTGACAATTATAAAATGTCATGAAACAAGAAAATTTTCGTAAGTAGCTAATTTTTTCTACAAAAAACAGCCTCTACCTTTTCGTGACATTTTTTCACTGTCATCGAAAATTTAGTATTCGTGACAGTTTTTAACTATCTTAAAATTTGAAAAATCTGAAAAGTTCTGTTTTTTCCCGCAAAAAACGCACCCCAATCATTTATGACAGTTTTTTTTTCCTTCAAACTTTTTTACTGTTCACAACTGTCATGAAAGTCCATGTCTCTACCAGTGATGTTGCATATCAAAATATATGGAGAAAAATTGAAATTATCTTGTATAGTTTTTTTTTCCCTATCTTTTTAAATATTACATTGCAAAAAAAAGGTATATTGAACTTATGATCCAATAGAGAAGTGATGATGTCTAAACAAGTTAGAGCTAGGTTAAGAAATCTTTTCAAAATTTATATTCGAGAAGTTGTTTACTCATTCTATAAAAGTAGCTTGTACTTGTAAAATTCTTTTATAATACGTAAGTTATAATTCTTTTTTTTTTTTGAGGAAGTAGGTTATAATTTTTATAAATTATAAACTAGTCGTACATATTTAAATTTTGATTATGGTATAAATTTGAACTCTAAATCTTTGATGGTCTATTTAGTCCCTAAAATTTAAAAACTTTGTAGTAAGTGATTTGATTATGCATATTCAGTYCCTAACACTTAAAAAAAACTTATTCATGATATGTGACACGTTGATTTTAGGTATATTTTCTTAAATTATACCGTTATAACATTACGTAAAGTATTAAACTAATCAAATAACAACAAAAATATATTAGTTACAAACTTAAAATTGTCAACCTAAGAATAAATGTTGAAGACCAGAATCCAAATTAAAAGCTTATTTGAATCTCTCAAAGATTTTTGTTGCTCTCTAAGAATTTTCTCAAATTCTCTAATCTTTAGACAATAAATATTAATATTTAAAATCATTTTTAATTCTATAAAAACCATACGACAAAGTATATAATTTACCATCACTTATACAAAATCAATTATGATTAAAATCTTGGGTTAAAATCAAGAATTCTGAAATCATTACCGAACAAACCTTAAATATATAACCGTCAAAATTTAGATATGAATTAAAAATTTATTATTATTTTTTTGTCTTTTTGGGCGTGCAAGAGTGGCGGAGACACGCGTAGGTTTGAGACCACTCCTTCGTGTCGTAAATAATGATCCCGCGGTTTTGGTGAATTGTCGTTGGAATTTTGTGGCCACCTAGAATCTCACTCCCCACTACTCGCCCCACGCTATTTCTTTCTTTTCACCAATAAATACAATTTTTTGTTCTCATTTTCACAAAAAAAGAAAAAAAGATTGTTAAAATTTAAATTATTAAATTTCGTCCAAATTAATTTGGTCCTATGATTTTTAATTTTTTTCTTTTATAGTTTCTCGGGTATCCAATCAATTAATCCCTCGAACCAGAGATAATGGGAAGACTAATCTAAGWAGTAGAAACCATATACATCAGCAGGGTGACACGTTACCGTTGATCTCAGACCTTACACCTGATTTCCTCTTTCCGAGAAGGCTTTCCAATTATCTCTCAAATTAGAGGCATTGAATCGATCGAGCAAGAGAAAGAAAGAAAACAACGCATTAGATATTTACCTAAACCGATAGGTAGATCCTTGAGCAAATCTCACGTTAGCCCTAAGACAAGTACATGCTTGAGCTTAAGTGAGAAGGGTCTCCTCCCCCACTCGTATTTTTCTGTATAAAGTAATGGTCGAGATGAGATCACCGGACTAGTGCGGCTCCAAGAAAAGATAGACAGCTCAACTCCTCGAGAGACTTTTACTTTATTTTTTTTAGTACTAACAAATTAGGATATGAAGTTTGAATTTCCGACTTCGAAGAAACTATAAGATGTCATTTACTGTTAGGATAAATTCATACTAACACTTCAATTTTGGTTTCAATGGCTTTGAAATTTTCAATTTAGTCCTATGATCTAATTAAACTTCATAAATTATCCTTGATGTAAGTTTGCAGGTATATACGTAGAATCACAATTGCCATATTGTTTTGAAAAAATTATTGTTAATGGCTCATCTTTTTCTAGTGACTACATTTTAAGTTTTCTTTCAATTTTATTATCAAAATCAATTTAATGTTGATTACATTATAAATAAAATAAGATTGTTTGTATTTTCTTGTCATTAATATAAATCTCAAAATGGAAAGAAAAATTTAAAAGACGAGATAGTATTATTAATTGTTTTTGGAGATGGGAGATTCGAATTCACAATCTCATGGTTGGAGATAATGTCTATATTGTTGAGCTAAACCCAATTAGCTACTATAATTTAGCTTTTGTTTTACAAATATGTTTGATTTATTATTTTTTTATATGTTTTTAAAAAGTAGGTTAGTCATGCTTAAATATTTTTTTATGCGACAGACAATTTTTTTTTTCTTACCTCATCGTGTTTGTTGGGGTGTATTAAAGTTTAGAGTGAGTAAAACATAAAAGAAATTAAATTGAGGCTTTTAGCCAATAAAGAGAAGTTCCAAGTTGATTTATGAAATTTAACTAAATTATAAACATCAAGTTAAAAAATTTTAAATTATAGAAATTAAATTGAAACAAAATCGAAATTTAAAAAATGGTCCTAAACATTGATACACCATGACCCAAAAATTTAAGTTGGTGAGTCAGGGTGAATTTTTAATTGAAATTTGTAGGTGACCCAACCAATAATAATGAATATAAATTGAAAGGAAATAACAAAATAGGACCTCTGATACCATTTAAATATGGATAAATCGCTAATGAACCCAAAAACTTAATACTCAGTTTGGGTTTGAAATTGGTTCGAAATAATTTCAAATGATGGACATAATTTAGAAAGGTTTGGAACCAAATTGATTTTAAATCATTGAAATTAAACTTTCTTATTTTGATGCTCACGAGAAATGAAAATAAAGTATTGTTATGCCCCTTCCAATTTTGCAAGATATTTTTAATATCAGATAGTAATATAAAAAAAAAATTAAAACTTGCAAACGTCATCCTTGTTATAAAAAAAACACTTGCCTATGTGACGATTTAAATATTAATAAAATAACAATTGAAAAGTCAAATTATTAAATAGGATAAAATTGGAATTTGTTAATCCAACCAAATCCAAGTGAAAAAAATATTTTGACCAGAACATAATTTGAATGTAATTCAACAGTAATTAGCATATACCTTAAATTATAAAATTGTGAACTCGATCTCCACCCTCATATATTGTATCAAAAAAGAAACATGATTTGATTTCAAAATGAAAAAAAAATAATAATGGAGCCGATCGTTTACCAATCAAAGAGTAATGATGTTGAATTTGATGGGGCCGTCGCCCCGAACGATAAAGCTGGTTTCATTTCATATCATGGCAACACATGTTCCCCATTCTCGTCTTCCTTCCCCACATTATATTTATTCTACTAAAGTTTCATGACATATTTGATTCTAAATTTGAATAAAATCTTTTGTACATGTTCCTAAACATATATACAAATAAGGTTGAACATATATCACATTTTAGTTCTTAAAGTTTACGTTTTTATCTCCGGTCTTGTTCATATTATTTAACAAATTTCTACTCAATTTATTATATTTTAATAACTTTCAATTATATACGTTGGAAATGTGACCAAAATCCAACACTAGCTATATATATAATCGAGGAACAATATTTCCATTATTGGTATGACACCTTTTAAATGAAACAAAAAAATAAAGGTGATTTGTAATCGTAATACTACAGTTAGTGTGTTAAAGGTGGCTTAGGGTAAACTTGTGTTGGACATTAAAGTAGGTTATCAATTTGGAACACATGAGAAGAGGAAGAACGATCACAAATAGAGATGTTTCAAAAGGAAACAAGAAAGAGAAGGGCTACTATGAAGACTATAATTAATAATGAATTGAATGCACACTACAATATTTTTTCCAACGATTCTTCCAACAAAATTTTATTAAGGGTAAAATGACTTCTAAGATAAATGGTCTTCCTATAGAATTGGTCTAAAGATTGACTTCAATTTAATATGGAAAGTAGAGACTAAAGAAACCAGGAAACTAAACTTGCATTTCTTTAACCATATTCATACTGGATCTCATCGATGGGTTAAACACATTTGACCATGGGTTAATTATGTCTGCTAGTGTGGATATATAGTAATTACGCAAAGTAAAAAACAACCTAAACAAACACATAACACAAAAAAAATTTAATGTGGAAAGACAAAAAGAGAAAAATTTTAGAAAAAATAAAAGTAAAGTCGACAGAAAAAGATATGTTAAACAAAAAAAAATTATAAAGAAAGAGAAAAATTACAGTGGAAACAAAATTAGGGATAAAAACAAGATTCAAAATATAATTTTTAGAGAAAATAAATAAATTCAAAGATAAAAAAAATTACAGTGAAAGAAAATTGCACGAAAAATAAAATATAATTTTCAGAGAAAAAAATAGATTACAAGAAAAGTTATAAAAGATGAAATTTTAGAGAGAAAAAAATTAGAAAAAATATTAAATTTTTAGAGAGAGAAATGAAATTGGTCAATTAGAAAAAAAACAAAAAAACAGATAAATTTGGAGAGAGACAAATAATAATAAATATTCAAAATATGAAAATTTTAGAGAGAAAAAATAAAGTTCGTAGAGAGAAATTTAGAAATAAAAAAGTTTTAGAGTGAGAAATAAATTTTTTAGAGATAAATATGAGAATGAACAAAAAAAAAAAGTTGACTATTAGAAGAAAAAATCAAATTTTGAAAAACAAAAAACTGTTTTTAAAACTACTTTCTTTTTTGTTTTTGAAATTTACATAGAATTTCAAAATGATTTTTAACTGATTGAATTGGTTATCAATGTTTTTAAAAAACTAAAAACAAAAAACAAAATAATTATCAAACGTGACCTTAAATTAGTGAGTTTTTGTATTATTTTTTTATTGAATAGAGGGATAAAAAATGATATTTATATAAATTTAAGATTATGAATTTGAATTTATTAAAAAACTAAATTAGACATAAAAGTTAAATTATTTATTTTAAATGAAAAATACAATTTTCTAAAAAACAATATTAATCCAACATAAATTTAGACTTTTATTGATATATATCTGTTACTAAAGTTCGAATCCATATTGTACTTTAACTAAAGAACAATATTTAAAAATCAAAATAAGCTTGAGATTTAATCAAATCATTAAAAATATATCAGAAAAATAGAAATAAAAAAGATGCGCTAGATATGATTCGAACTCACACGTTGAGGCTAATATATTTGATAAAAGAAAATTAAAAAAAAAAAGAATAAAAGAAAAAGTATGCGCCAACTGCGAATCGAACCCAGGACGCGAGGCTGGGACGCTAGAAAAAGAAATAAAAAAGGATGCCGGAGGTGATCTTCGAACACAAGCCACGAGGCCAGGGCACCAAAATAGAAAGTAGGAAAATCACTTGGCCAAACTATATTTCACTCACAATGTAACATACTATAAATATATTAACCTAAAATTTCAGGTGCACGTGGCCCGCGATCCCAACGTGATCCGCCCCAGAAGCGATTGTTTTTAATTTTGACTGGATTTGAAGGTGGTTTTTTGTTAAAATAATAAAAAAGTAATGAGAAATCGATGAGAAATAAAATTTAAATTAAATTTAATTATAAGAAATCTCACACATTCTTAGAGAATAAAAAACAAACTTTAAAATTAAATTTAAGTAACAAAATTTTAAAACAAATAAAAAAATGAATTTAACTAATTAGTATTAAACATTTAAATTTAAACTAAATCTAATTTTAAAAAATTATTCCATCCTTTATGTATATTTAACTTCTCAATTATATAACTAAAAGTTAAATTGGATGAAAAATTATCAATAAAACATAATTGAGCAACATTAAACTTTAATGTACTAATTCAAATAATTTATATATATGTATACCTTCGATATTTTCGTTGACATTTCCATAAGTATATTATTTATAAGTGATTAGTTATAGGGTAATTAAGCTACCATTAAAATTTCATTTATCAATTCAAAATATTTGATTCAATATCCACAATTTCCATGATTTTTCTCGAAATATCTGTTGACATTGACATTAAAATCAAGATCTCGACATTTCTATCCACATTGAGATTTTGAACCTTGTATACGAGTACTAAAAAATAAAAACTAAAAGCACCTTACGATGGAGATTTGAGGGAAATTGCAGATATTTTCTTAAGATGGTATTGTTTTTTATTCACTATTTTCAAAACCTATGTTTTCTAATAATGGCTGACATCACATATATTAAATGATTTTCTCTACCTCTCTACTCTCTTGCTCTCCCTCTCTTCTCGCTCTCTCTCCTCTATCTCTAGCTCTCGTTCTCTCCCCTCTCTCCTTTATTTCTCTCGCTCTCGCACCTCTCCCAAGTGGAGGGCGAAGTAATTTGATATCTAAGTGATGTCATCAAATACCTAAAAAATTTAGGTTTTGAAAATGGTGTTTACAAAACGAAAAACACGTCAAATTTCGAGAGACTGGTTGTTGATAGCAGAGAATACCAAAAGTTTCCATTATGTAATTTTCGTTTCCAAATTTGGAATGACAAATTTCCCAAAGAAGACGGAGTTTGATACATTTCTCAAAGGTCGTATTTTAAAGTTTGATAATTTTCATTATGTATTATAATTTTTTTTTTTTAAGTCCAAAGTTCGCATTTTCAATTGAGAGCATACCTTTCACTATTCAGATTCAGCCCAATTACCCCTTTAGATCCAATTCTCCATAAAATTTTCTCGCACTTTCCCACAGATTTCTCCCTTTTTCTCTTCAACTCCGGCAATGGCCACGATCCCTCTCTTCTCCTCCTTCCGATACTCCGACAGCCTCACGGTGGTCGGAATCTCCGTCTGCACCGCCGTCGTTTGCGAGGCCATCTCCTGGCTTCTCATCTACCGCACCAACTCCTACAAGACCCTCCGCTCCTCCATCGACAAAGCCGCTAAGAAGCTCGAGACCATGAAGACCGACAGCTCCAAAATCTCCGTGAAAAAGTCCAAAACCAAGAAGATCGATCGCGTCGAGACCAGTCTCAAGGAATCGAATCGCGACCTCTCGCTCTTCAAGTTCAAGTCCGGCGCCGTCGTCGCCCTTGTTCTGTTCGTCGTCTTTGGATTGCTCAATTCGCTCTTCGAGGGCAAGGTCGTGGCCAAATTGCCGTTTAAGCCTTTTGGGCTTGTGATGAAGATGAGTCACCGAGGGTTGCAGGGAGACGATCCCACCGATTGCGCTATGGCTTTCTTGTACTTCCTCTGTTCGATTAGCATTAGGACCAATCTCCAGAAGTTTTTGGGATTCTCGCCGCCGAGGGGCGCCGGCGCCGGCTTATTTCCGATGCCAGATCCCAAGACAAACTGATTTAGGTTAGGCTTGGACCAATTCATGCCCCTTTCCCCGCTTTGATTATGAATTTTTCGTCATGATAAAACTTGATTTGGGCTGATTAGTCTTAATTTATTAGGGTTCTATATGTTAAGTTCTAGTGAGTTTATCGGACTTAGTATAGCTCTTAATTCCACAAATTTGAGAGAGTGATTCTGGTTCTAAATTTCTAATCTCCACTTGCATTCTTCAGTCGAAATGGAAATAACACCATCTTTTTTCATATCAATATGAGCTTTTGTTACATCCAATGATTAAATCTATTGCCTTATTTATGATTGTGAGATTGATCCGTGAGTTCTGCTGGCTAGTGATTAAAAGGTTTTCAGCTAAGCTACCATTTTCTCCTAGTCAAGCTTTCAATGCTTGTTGGATATGTTATGGTATTTACTTTTCTGTTTTTGATCCTCATCTTACCAAACATTATTCCATTTCATAAACTAGTTAAGTGTCTTAATTTAGCATGTAAATCCTCCTCTAGAGCAACCACAGAACATAAATTTTGCACTATCTAACTTTCTCATAAGAAGTGTTAGAATTTCAAAGCTTCAGTGTTCTGTAGTGATGAGGAACGGATTATGATTATCTAACAGTTGTTAAGTACAGTTGATATAGTTCTAAGTACACTATAAGTTATACGCCACAAATAGTCAAGTTTTGGGTGGAATTTGTGGACTTTTATTATCTAACAGTGTGACTATGTGAGTACAGTAGATATAGTTGGGGCTCGATCAAAATATGGTATTTGGTAGTGGAATTTGTGGTGTTGACATATAGTGTTGCTATTTTTCTACTTCTTCCTTAGCTGAATATTCAGTCTTAGGATGTTCATTCGTGATTGGAAACCTGTCCTACATGTTTTTTTTTTAAGGCGGCCGGGCTTTCTCATCCCCAGCCTTTAGGCTGTTCTTTTTTCTCGATATATATAAAAAAAAGGTTATGTTTTGATTTACAAGGAGCAGTTGAAGAATTGATGTGGCTCGTTGTCAAACTAGTATTCAAGTATCAAATTTGGTTTTGTACCTTCTTTATTTGTTACAGACCTCCCCTACATTTTACTTTTTCCTGATACAAATCTGTATGGGTGTGAGTGAAATGATGAACATTGAAAGGAAAACTTCCAACTGTTCTGCAGACTGCAATACTGTATTAGTTCTCTATTTGCATCTACTGGTTCTTTTAGATGTTGTTCTTAATGTCATTGCTACTAGCTTTCATGGTTGAAGTGATCATTCCTGATAATTTTCGGGTTAAAATATACTATTCTCGACTCTTGTAACATGCTAGTCCTCTAACTATTTAGTCCTTGTGTGTGTAGAAATGTAATGTAATGTTCGAGTCAATTTGTACGTAAAATATGGATAAATGAATGCAGTCAATAGGGTTCATATCATTCGAAATCAAATGTAGTTCAACTATTCGTCGGTTCACATACTTCGATTACCAAATGAAATGTGTTTTAACATAGTTATTAACTTGACTTGTAGATCGAACTTTCGATATTTTTAGTGGTAGGATGAGTTTAAAGCAAGCTAGATGCTATTTATCTTGGGAAGTTAGACAATTGTCTTCTTTATTTTTTTAGTTAGTTTGCTTTTGGTCCAGGATATATTCTTTAACAGGCTGGGTTGAGTTATGTTGAGGTTTAGCGAGTTGGATAACTTGATGATGCTGGCTATCTTATCAATAAATTGAAATGATAGTCATTAAATAGTCCAATGTGCATACTTAGCGCTAAAGATATGTACTTTTTTTATTCAGGTTGAATGTTCAAATCCTCACCTTCCATATTTTTACTCATAAAAAAGTATGTATCATTTTTATTGATAGTGTAACTTCTGCAAAAATTGGTTTGGTCTCTCCTACGTAAGATAAATATATTTTTTAGAATATTATATTACAAAATACAAGTAAAAGGGGAAGGAAATTTGAGTTGATAACCCATTAAGCGGTATAATGTTCCTAAAGTCTAGTGCTATACTCTATCTATTGAATCTAGAATATGTGACGGGTTCATCTTGATATCTCTTATCGGTTCTATCATGGAGATAGTAAAAGAATCTAATAAAAAAAAATTATATATATATAATTGGATATTACAAATTAATAATTTGTTCTCAAAATGATATTAACTTTAACTAAATCCTACCCATGCAAGAAAAAGTATATCCAAATTATGCAAAACCCACTCGTTTTTAGAAAGGTAAGTTGGAAAAATTGAATTGATTCTAGCCCAAACTAAAAAAAAGTTGACTATTAAATCTAATTGAATATATAAAATTTTGTCCCAACCAAACAGAGGATGATTAATGTTTGATTTGGGCGATGAACTCACATTTTTTGATCGAAAATGAATGGATTAATGTTTAATTTTAGATGTTATGAATTGACTTGGGTGAAAATTTTAAATTTTTTCAGAGAATAAATTATTTTCATTTTAACTTTCATCCCTAGTTTCTACACTCAAATTGTGAAAAAGAAATACTTTTACAAATTTTATTTCAGTTTATATGCTTTAATTAAATCTTATCGATTGTCTTTGTTAAGAAAAACATAAAGATGAAAAAAGTGAATTTAACAAAAGTTATACGAAGTCAACTTTTCGGCTGTAAAATCGCATTCGCGCAGGTTACGAAAGAACCCATCATCTGTCTCTGAAGAACACTGCGCTGTGTCGCATAAAGGAAATCCAGAAGAAAATTTGATCACTCTGTGTCTCTGAAGTTTAATTTCACACCCACAGCCTCTGTTTATCAGCCTATCTATCTCTCCTCACAGAATCGCGAGCTTGATTGGAATTTCTTTCTTATGGGCGCTGCCTGATTTGGTAAGCGTCCCGTGTTTTCCCTTTTTTCTTTTATGGTCGATTTTCCCCCATCATTTTCTTCAATAATATATCCCCCTACAAGTGGGAAATTTTGAGAAGTAGGATAATATGACAAAAATGTATCATGGGTTGTTCTTTCTGAAAGAAATTATGCCTGTTATACTATTCTATATCGTTAATTTCACAGTGCTATGGACCGGAAGGAAAAAGCAACAGCTTCCTTTCTCAAGCGTGTACTAGTGACTTGCGCATCTCAGGTATGTCAATTGGATTGAGATGTAGCTACTTGAACTTGTTCTTCTTTTAAATGAATTTCTATATGCCTATTTTTGATGATGCAGTTGTTTCCTATAAAAGGAAGTGTAACGCCTTTTTTAACAACAAAGGGATGGGGTCTCGGGTGTTGGATTCTTTTATCTTAAAATGTCAAAAATTTTTTGGTTAGATTTTTTTAATTTACACTAATTTAACAGCTTATATATACCTATACATAGGTTTCAGGTGTAAATGTATGTATTATAAATATATGATCTCTATTGTCCTTGGGCTTGTGGCGGATTTTTTAGCTACCCCCCACCCATAAAAAGAGGGAAAAGGAAAAAGGCAAACCATTGGCCCTTGTTATGAGAGATTCCATTGGGATGGCGGATTTTTTATCTACCCCCGACCCAGAGGGAAAAGGAAAAAGGCAAACCATTGGCCCTTGTTATGAGAAGTTTATGAGAGATTTCCATTGAGATGGTAACAAGGAGGGAGGCGAGCACTTGGTATACTTGGAAAAAAGTGAGACAACCTATTCTTGCAGGGGATTTGTAGTGGGAAATATTTGTTTGAAAAATTCTAATCTCTTTTAATCAAATGGCTCTGGAGATTTACCCATGAGAAAAATTCGCTTTAGAGGAAAGTGGTGGCCATTAAAATTGAGATTTTATTGAGAATTGGAGGACTACATAATGGTGAAAAAGAATAGATTCTGGGAGGACCTCTGGATTAGTAAGGACACCCACTCTTTCAAATTCCTAAGAATCTACTATACACTTGCAAACAGCAATTTTCCTATTAGTCATGTGTGGAAGTTTGAGTCGTCCTTTCAGGACTTGAGTCTTAAGATGATACTTGAATTACTGTGAGGCAGCAGTGTGGATTTGGAAAGAGCAGAAATGGATTTGCAAGATTCTTATCCGAAAAAAGTGAAGAGTTCCAGGTTATGCATTTCCCCATTATTGGAGCTGAAGTTCCTTAGGCACAGATTTTTATAGTTATGCCACTTCTTTTATCAGCTTTCACTAGGGACGTTTTGTTTAATCCCCTTGTTCAGCTAGGGGACTTCTTGATTCTTGGCTTTTAAGTTGGTTTTAGGAATTTATTTTTTTCTATTGACAATCGGGCTTGTTTATTAGTTAGCTAATATGCTGTACTGCAATCTGATGGTTCCCAACCTTCATGCTTGATGCTTCTAGAAAGTTCTGTTTTGTTTTGTTTTTTCACCTTTTTCCGAGTGTTTAGGTTAGCTTATGTACACCGACTTCTAGGGAAATCTCTTAAATATGAGGATATCATTTTTTGAATACTACTCTAAAGTACTTAGGTTTATAGTTTGACTCATCTGATCATTTTGGCCAACCCATGGTAGTTTTTAGTTTGCCTATAGAAAGTGTCGAGTACCAATGTCTGCAACAGATGGTTGTTACTATTTGGTTGCTTTGTATTTATATAATTTTTAGGAATTCTTACAAAAATAAATTTATATGGCTTTGACTCTGACTCTCGGTTATAAAAAAAAAAAAATTGTGATTAAGATAATTTAGGAAAGAGAATATGAAACAAGGCCTACTTCTTCTTAACTTGTGTTCTTTTCATGCATTTATATCCATATTATGGTTGTTTTATTACAACCATATCCTATTTAGGTTACGTGCGTACTTGACAAGTTAGTGCTTTCTTAGTCCTTTTTCTCTCTCTCCCTCTTTTGAAGAGATCTTAGTTCCCATTTTTATTTTAATTTTTTTTTGTTTGTATAGGCAAGACAATATGGGAGCTGTGTTGCAGCAAAGGTTCCAGAAGTTGAACGTGATATGTGTCTGAAAGAATTTATTGCACTAAAGTGTTGCATGCAAAATACGGTATTTATCAATGATTACAAATTCCTTTTTAGTGTATATGAGGAAACAAATGACTTTAAGGCCTGATTGATAATTTTTTTGGTTTTGGTTTTCAGTTTTTAAAAACTATGCTTATGATCTACCAATTTTATTTGTCTTCTAATCTACTTTCAATTTTTCTTTAAAACTGTAGCAAAAATTTAAAAACAAAAGATGTAGTTTTAAAACCCTGTTTTTTGTTTTTAAAATTTGGTTATGATTTCTGAAGTGTTTTATACAAGTGATAACTCGATAAGAAAAAATATGTTTATGTAATTTTTATAAGCTTAATATTTTAAAACAGAAAACAAAAAGTAAAACTGTCATCAAACATGGCCTTACCTTTATTCTGTTTGAATATTTGCCCTCAAGTAATCTTATGGTTCTTGGATAGCTTCGAGGGAAATCATAAATATCTTTGCTTCATTGAAGAAAATATCAAGATCATGAGTTGGGAAGCTTGTAGTAGAGCAGTTGGAGAAATTTCCTCGTGACCTTGAAGAGAATATGGTATTAACGGTCTGGTAATGATCTACTTGAACATTTACACATGTTTTCTGTTTCCCTAATGTTACCCACTTTCTTTTCTTTTGCAGTGAGGTTTGAGTGAATAAGCTTAATTTAGATTGTATAAATTGCTTGATTCTACTTTCAGAAAGATTTTCCAAGGTTAAAAGGTGACTTGATAAAATGTCTGGAGGGCCATCAAGATTACAACCCAGTGCTGGTCTAAGCAAATCAAGTGCTCTCTCGCATGTTTATATACAATATCCACCCTTACGGTGTAGAATTCCTGAACCAAGGGGCTTATTTTATGATGATGGAAATAAGTTATTGATCTGCCTAACAGCAAGTCAGGTAATAGATCTTCTGCAGTTTTATGACATGGAAAGTGCATCTGGAGCTTTTAAGCCTGTTTTGATACTGTTTATTTTGTCCTTCGTGTAGATATTCTCATGGAAAACAGTTCCGTTTAATCCTGCTGTCACTTATACCCCTGAGGCGATTACAGAAGGGCCCATTTTATCTATTCGATATTCCTTAGACTTAAAGATTATTGCAATACAAAGATCAAGTCATGAGATACAGTTCTTGATTAGAGAAACAGGTGAAACTTTTAGTCAGAAATGTAGAGCAGAGTCAGAGAGCATTCTGGGCTTTTTTTGGACGGATTGCCCCTTGTGTAATATTGTATTTGTGAAGACCAGGTAAGACCAGATTCTAAGGCTTTTAAATTTTATGATTGAAAATTGAAATACATGACATAATTTGCAGGGGAAACCTAAGATCAGTTTGACAAACTTTATCTTTCTGATTTTCTGGGAGTTCTGGAGAGTTCAAAATTGAAAATTTTTGGATGATATAGGCGAGGAGATAAGAGAGATGTGGGAGCAAATGTGTTTTGATGCTTCTCTTTTGTTTTTTAGCACAAAGAGTCTTGCCTTTTATCCATTTTTAAATCAAGGCTAATAGAGAGCCATTTATGTAATCTCTTTAATTTTTGAGGTTTTGGTTAGAGCTCTATTGCCTGTCTCCTTTGTATTTTGTCCCCTTTCTGTTCAATGTGAATGTTTCTTATTAACATATCTTGATTGATGTCATAACTCTTTTTCATTAAACTAAAAATAGCATACAAAATTGCCAGGAAGGAATTCGTGTGATCTAATTTTGTAGGTTGATGGTTGGATGACCATTGTTTTTTCACTTGAAAAATATTACAAATAAAACATAGTTCTCAATCTCTTAAGCCTTCCTCATCTCCTAGGCCCTAGCTTCTCTAGGATACCTTACTCCAATTGGTGATCTAAGATAATTATCCTCATAAAGAGTTTTAAGGTATAATGGTCTATTTTAACTTGGGCAGTGCTGTTAATTCATTTTCATCGGGACTCAATGACCTGACACGTGCTTTCACTGCAAAAGTGCACTATAATTCTAATTCATTTGTTATTTTTCTGCTTTCTTCCTTTTCATTATAGAGGATTTAGAGGGTGCTGCCAGTGATTTTGTGCATGTAAATATTTATAATTGGCTAAGGCAAAGTTATGTTGCAGTGGGCTGGACTTGTTTGCTTATAATTCTGACTCAAAGTCTCTCCATTTGGTGGAGACAAAGAAATTGAATGTTAGCTGGTATGCCTACACACATGAAAGTCGGTTAGTGCTTATGGCTTCTGGAATGCAGTGCAAAACTTTTCATGGGTTTCAGGTACAAAGTTTTACTTCCATGCACAAGTTGAATTTATTTGAATTTTCTTAATTTATTTATTTTCTTCTTAAATTTTCTGTGCTTCTATAATATTATGGTGAACGGCATTCCATACATTGTATTGTTACCTCTTTTCCAGTAGTTTTAGTATAAAGATATTTTTCTGAAGTCTTCTGAAAAAAAGATGTTTACCTGATGTGTTGACCCCCCCAATTTCACCAGAAAATGGAAAAATTCATTCGATGAATGGTATCAATATATGTAATAAAGATGGATTCTGATTTCAACCAATAAGTAAATAACTAAAGAAAATTCACTTAAAATATTTTGGGTCCCATTCAATTGATTAATATTGCAAACAAAATAAATACAACCAAATATTTTTGGTTTAAGAGGGAATGGCTTTGTTGGAAGTAGAGCTTGTTAAGAAGTCTCACCAATTAGAATTTGATGAGGCATGAGATTAATTCAGTAGCAGGTTCCGGAAACAAGCAGACTCTTGCAATTTCAAGATGTCTATTCTAACTTGAATCTGCAATTTTGAGACGGGAACTTGGAATCAGAGAAAAATTGAGATTCAGCTATCTTAAATTCTATATGTTGGACCCCCCAACATGGGGAGATGAGTGGATTTTTACTCCTCGATTTCAATCTTGACATAAAATACTACAACCAGAAAATGCAATTAATAAATAAAGCAATTTTTGAGCAATAAATATTAACAATAGATAAAATGCAAAAATTAGAGAGGTAAATGTTGGAGAAATTAGCATGAGTATTCTCTTGCCATTTTCACCAAACATGGCCTACATCAACTTGAACACTTTCAGAAACTCACTTCATCCTTTCCATAGTATAGGATCAAACTATTGTACTATTATTGGCGAAGTTCAAGAACAAACTTGATTTATTCCATGTTTCAATCTCTCTTTTCCCATGACTCAAAAACAACCTTTACAGTGTTGAAGTTTCTGAGTACTGAGGAGATCTTCTCTCATATAGTGGACGAACAACCCATTCTTGGATCATGTTGGACAGAATCTAATTTTCCTTAATACATTTTATCTCCAATTTTGGTGATTCAAAATGCCACGTGTTTTATTTTTCATGCTCTACAACACCAACACTTTTTCACTTCGATCCTTGCTAGTATCTACACTTTTTCACTAGGGCGTGGTACCTAGTGGCTGCTTGTAACATTTTCCAGATTCTCAATGGAGTTAATTCGAAGTCTAAAGCTAATCTTCTTTGGATTAATGGCTCAAAGGCGATCATTTCAGAATTATGGTACGAGAGGAACCAAATGATTTTCCAAGATTCTCACCTATCGTCGCTAGAATGCTTTAATCTTGCCAAATTCAAAGCCTCTCAATGGTGTGCTCTTTCCAATACCTTCTCCTCCTATTCCACTAATATGATTTGTATGAATTGGGAGGCCTTTATAACTCCTTTTCAATTTTGCTCTAAATTTTCCTGCTTTCTGTTTTTATTTTCTTTCACTCCCTTGGGAGTTTGTATCCTTGAACAATTTTTGTTCCTTTTCATTTATCAATGAAAAGTTCATTTCTTGTTAAAAAAAAAAACACCAACACTTTTAATGTTAATTATGAATAATGTGACCCAAATAGCTAACAAGATGTCCAAGCAACCTATGTTTATTTTGTATGGTGCTGAAGAATTGTGTAATTATTGCGTGCAAATGATTCTCATTGGATACCACAGGCTTTATTTTTCCACTAAAGCACTAGTAATTTCTATGCTGCTTGTTCTTTGTAGATGAACAAGAGTAGAGGATTGTTTTCCTTCTTGACATATCTAACATGTCTGGATAAGAGGTTTATGAATTTTGACTTCTATCACAATATGTTTGTGGATTGTCTGATGTTCTTATTTTGAACTTTGGTCCAACAAGGCTAATGATGGGAGCTGATTGGCTTGTGTTGCTGAAGATGTGCTTATTGTCTCATTTGGATTATTCTTTCATGTGTAGCTTTCATCAGCAGGGATGGTTCGCTTGCCAAAGTTTGAAATGGTGATGGCAAAATCTGATGCTTACAACAAGCCTGTCCTAGCTATGGAGGACGTCTTTATTGTCACCGCGTAGGGGTTTCTGTCAGTTTGCCTCTTTTTATTTCTTCTTTTTCTGAGAAACTCATTTCTATTGCTAATTAAAATCGAAACTCAAATATGTATATTTTCTTAAACTTTGTCAGGTATGGCAGAATATATTGCTTACAAGTCGATAGAATCGCAATGCTACTTCATACCTATAGGTTCTACCGTGATGCTGTTGTGCAGCAGGTATATGTTTGAAAACTTATCCATGTCTCCCTTGGGGTTTTTTGTTGGTTGAAACTTGAAAGTTACAATTTGTTAAATTTTATTTGTTAAACTTATCCATATTTTGTATTTTAACCCTTGTAATGTCACTTCCTCTCAATTTAATATTGATTACCACTTGTTGATCTCCATTTAATATTGATAACCACTTGTTGGGCGTTGTGAAAATTTTCAAGTTCGCAAGTGAGGGAGAGTGTCAGGTATATATAAAAGATTAAATTTATTGGTGATTTAACAATTTTATTGTACAACCAAAGTTAAAAGACTACTAGTTATACAAGACCAAATAAAGGCACAAAAGCTCATTTGTATAACACCAAAATGAAGAAATAAAAGGAACAACCCATTTCCCCTGTCCTTAAAACCTCGTTTGAGTTCCTTCACGCATCTTATGACTCTTTCCAACCAAAGTTCTTGTTATGGAAAAAGTGTGATAAAGATGATGAAACTAAATAATAAAGCATAAGGAGTGTAATGAACACCAATCTTGGACCACAGAAGTCTTCATCTCTTCCAAGGAGTTGGTCTCAAAGGGCGTCACAACTACATCCAAGTCTAGGACAGTACTAGAACTTAGCTACAGGAAATGATTTGGTTGGATTATCATGTACCAATTTTACTCATGACAAAATCACTCTGACCTATGATGTCATACTACTGAATGATATTGTGCATCAATATATTTAGTTGTCTCATGAATAATTTGATGTTTCACGAGGAAAGATATTTTCTACTTTTTTTTTTCTTTTTAATTTTTAATGAGAAACATTTTTACAAAAGAGGGGAAACCTGAAATTCAGAATCACAAAAGACTCCTCCAATTTGATGTTTAGTGAGGAAGATGCTATTTTGACCACTTCAAAACATTCTGGTAGTCTGCAAATCTTCATTCAGATCAGCAAATAGCCCTCAACTAAATGGTTCTATTACATGCCACTGTAGTAGAGTAGTCTATGATATACTCTAAGCATTTGGGAGCACTATAGCCACTATGCTCTATTCCCAAATCTGTGAACTCCCTTATCAGGATTAGGTTCCAGCGGATGATGTCTTGGTTCCAACTATCCTTTACAGCCCTACTCAGTAATTGATGTGGACAAGTTCCATATCCATTGGAACAAAGGGGAGGTGAAGAATAGAGAAGAGGGAGAAAGAGAAGAAAGTAAGGGACATATTTGGGAGAGAGAATGTAGGAAGGAGGAACCTTCCAAGGGGAGATTGGTTGGCAAAGGCTTGGGGTCTCTTGGTCATACTGGTTTAGAGGTCTCAACTTCGAACTTTCCGGTGAGCTCGATACAAAAAATCCTTGATGTCTCCCGGGTTCGGGCCTTGGGGCGGACGCGGGTGCCCTGGGTATAGGGGAGCAAAGCTCCAACTCCCGGTTGGCGGTTATCAAAAGAAAAAAAAATGGTAATCTAATATGTTAAAAATGCGCTTATTTGTGAAGTGCTAACTTAAACAACGAAATCTTACCAAAATTATGCCAAAGAACATGAAAATATTCTAAAATACAGGGTACTCTTAATTAATGATAACTTTTCTTTCAATCCTACATCGACATGTCCATGCACACAACCTTTAACTTTGAGTTCATTTGCTGTCTAGAGTTTCCTTCTCTTTTGGGAGGGAAGATGTGAGGGTGGGTGTGGACACCCAACCCTTCGAAAGGTTTTTCTTGTAGCTCCTTTTTTCATGCCCTGAGCTCCCCGTCTTCTTCTTCCTCTTCTTCTTCCTCGTCCCCGGTGACCCCTTGGTTTACCCCTATTTGGAAGATTAAAATTCCAAAGAAGATTAAGTTCTTTGGGTGGCAAGTCTTACATGGAAAAGTCAATACCATGGATCGTATTCAAAGGATGTCTTCCTTTTGTCTGGGCCCGCAGTGATGTGTTCTTTGTAGGAGTGCTTTGGAAGATCTTGAGCATATGTTGTGGACTTGTTAGTTCGTCCAAGTTTTATGGCTTCGATTCTTTAGATGTTTTGGGATTGTTTGGGTACGGTCCAGAGATTGTAGAGCGATGATGGAGGAAGTGTTGTTATTCCCCCATTTTCGTGACAAGGGTCGTTTTCTTTGGAAGCGTGTTTTCTGGCTACTTTATGGGGTATTTGGTTGGAGAGGAACAATAGGCTGTTTAGGGGGTGGAAAAAACTGTGGACTATGTTTGGGATCTCATTAGGTTTAATACTTCTTTATGGGGTTCGGCCACTAAGGCCTTTTGTATCAATTAGGTGTAGGTCTCATTCTTTTGGATTGGAGCCCGTTTCTTTAGGGGTTCCCTTTTGCAGGGTTGTTTTTTGGTATGCCCTCATTGTTTTGTATCTATTTTCATTTCTCTCAATGAAAGTGCAATTTCTTTAAAAAAAAAAAAAACTTTGAGTTCATTTGCAAATGAGAGTGAAGAACATTTATAATTTTACTAGAAATTTTCTTCAGTGAATTGGAAGTTTAACAAGATTATTACTTAACAAGGATAAGTGTAATGGGGATGAGTATTATGTGGCACTAATCGTGACTGTTCAAGATTTAGAAGGCGGTCTCAGTTTGTGGGGGTATGAGGCAGGTCTCTTTGCTTCCATTCTTATACTCCAACCTTCTTTGGCACGTTATCCTATAGTATGTTCCATTTGGAATCCTATCGTTCAAAAGATTTAAAAATGCCCTTTGTCTTGTGATGATAGCTACAAAAGCCACATACATTTCTTGCTATCTGGATTTTTATTACTATGCTTGCTTAAATTGTATTTGATATTTTATTATTTTGGTTGATAAAGACTTGTTATTCTTCCTATTCTGTCTTTATGATAAATTTAAATGAAACTGTTAAAACAGAGTAGGAAAGTACAAAGGATTTTAAAAACCAAGTTCTCATTCATACTTGAAGTTGCATTGTTCTTTTATTTCATTCATAGCAGGAAAAAGGGGATAAACTCTTCTAGAAGAACGGGTAATAATACACGCACTCGTTATCTGGAAATAAGCTTTACCAGGCAGCAATCTGTCGTATTGTCAAAAGTCAGATTATGTTTTTAAGTAAGGTTTCTATTTAAATATAAATCAAGCCTTTGTGAGGGAGCTATGTACGTTGATTAGTCTTCTTCATATCTGCTCAAGATTCTTAAGTATAATAATTTGACATCAAATTTAGAGTTGAGGATTTATAGTACTTATTTTTTTGACATTGTGTTCTGCAGGGTTCTTTACCAATATACTCGAGCTGGATTTCTGTGAGTGTGGTTGATAATGTGCTACTCGTTCATCAAGTAGATGCAAAAGTAGTTATTCTTTATGACATATTTGCGGACTCACGGGCACCCATATCTGCTCCACTTCCTTTGTTATTGAGAGGTTTTCCGGGGTCCAATGTTGATATCCGACGTAGTAAGCAAGATAGCGACAGTCTAGATGCCGATTCAGTAACTGATTATGAGGCAATAGTCTATGGGGATGGTTGGAAATTTTTGGTCCCAGACCTAATTTGTGACAACGTCAACAAATTAGTGTGGAAGATACATATAGACTTAGAGGTCGGTTTTTATTTTTAATTGCTTATTTATATAATTATATGTACAATTTTAGCCACTGACACTCTTCCCCTTTTCTTATGGCAGGCGATTGCTTCCAGTAGCTCGGAAGTGCCATCGCTTCTAGAATTCTTGCAGCGGCGGAAATTGGAAGTTAGCAAGGTGAGCATCTCACTGATTGGGTATGAGGATTTGTACTGCAAATACAAGAATTCCTTGTGTTCTGTATTGTTTCTAGCTATATCTATTACTGTGTGGAAAAAAATGTTGGATTGGAACCCTTGTTTTGTTAGGCTAATTTCATCTAGGCTCTTTTTCGGGTTGTAATTTAGTTGGCCCTTTGGTTCACTTGTTCACACTCTTTCATTTTTCTCGATGAAAGCCAACAATATAGTAATCCTAACCCAAACGTTGAGAAACATTTCAGAAGCATGTGTACATTGTTGGCTAACGGCTCTTAATGTTTATTGTATTTCAATAATTGTTTTGTCTTTGCTTGAACTATTAAATAATTTCTGCTAATGTTCAGGCTAAACAGTTGTGCTTGACCTTGACAAGGACTATGATTCTGGAGCACAGCCCAGTGCCCATGGTAGCTAGGGCTATAGATGTTCTAGTCTCGTCATATACCCACTCTAGCAAAACAGGCCCCAACATCAAGGAATCAAAAACCGATAGGTTTTCGCATTCCGTTATGGTTCAAGTTAGTGGTGCTGGCCCTGTATCTGGTGCTATTAACCGAGATTCAACTGCTGGAGTAGAAAGCGAAGCTCTTCATAGGACTTCAATATTTCCATCTTCAGATTCTGAGGAGAATGCTGATGTTGAACAACTAAATACTGTTTCAGGTGACCATCAATCTACAGTTGGCCAGGAAAAATGGAGAGGCACTACAAGTTCTACTGACGTTCAGGCATCATCTTCACAGTATCAGCTTCTTGGGCCAGGATGTAACCGGTTCAATGACGATGTGTCTGATGATGGCTCTCTGGTTTCGTCACCAGTTATCTCACCTGATGAGGTGTACAGCTTTGTTTTTGCCCCCATTGAGGAAGAGATAGTTGGAGTCCCATCTTATTTGCTGGCTATAATTATCGAGTTCCTTCGCAGGTATGCTATATTCTTTCAATTTAAAAGTGATTCAAACTCACCAGTAGATATAGCCAAGATGAGACAAGTTTAATATTCACCACTTAAAAAAGGTACAATTTAGAAATGGCAAAACATTAAGGATTAGATTGAAACCTTTCAAATAATAGAGGCTAAATTAGGTAAACATTCTAGCATTAAGGACTAAAACATTTATTTAGCCTTTCTTCATATATCCATTTGGTTTAACGAGTTATCATTTTTCTTCTTCTTTTTTCTCTTTTTGTAGGGTTAATATGGAGAAGATCAAAGTAAATCCAAACATTTATGTTTTGACTGTCCAAATATTAGCCCGCAACGAACGGTACACAGAAATTGGACTATTTGTCCAGCAAAAGGTATTGAATCTTTTCTTACAATCTTCCTCTTGCCCTCCAAGTTACACAATCAATTAGTGAGAGGCTTTTTCTTTTTCCCTTTTCCTTTTAACAGATTCTAGAACCTTCTAAAGAAGTTGCTTTGCAACTATTGGAGTCTGGTCGCCATAATTTCCAGACAAGGAAACTGGGTCTAGATATGCTTAAGCAGCTTTCTCTACATCATGATTATGTGTCTCTGCTTGTGCAAGATGGATATTACCTGGAAGCATTGCGTTACGCTCGAAAGTTTAAGGTAATTTCTTTTTGGTCCTTGATGTTGGAAATTTCTAGACTCTGCACTGTTTTTGTTCCTTAACGTTGTAATTTGTCCTATGATGATTTAGACAAAAAAAGGGTTAAATTACAACTTTGATAATTTAAGATTGTGTCTGTTTAGTGCATGTATTTTAAAAATTCTATTAGGTCCTTGGACTTCCAAGGATATGTCTATATAGTTTATGTAGTTAAGTTTCTAATGGGTCTTTTAACTTTCAATTTTTTTTTCCCTTTTTGTGTCTAATAGGGTCTCTATTGTTAACTTAATTAATTTAACATTTACCTGATATAGTGACTATGTTATTTAAGAATACGTGGCAGGTTGATTTTGGGCATGTTTAGGTATTTGGTGGCACAAATTTAAATAAATAAAGTTAGCAAGATACACAAATTGAAATACCAGTGACCTATTTGAAACCTTTTAAGTACCAGGACCAAATAGACACAATCTTAAAACTTTAGGAACCTATTTGAAAAGTTTTAAAGTACGGGCCTAAATAGACACCGTTCTGAAAAATTCATGGACCAAACTTGTTATTTAACAAAGAAGAAAGAAAATAAGGCCTATGTGATTCTCACCTTTCCCAAATATTGGAGTGGCGGACATTTCTTTTTGCTATGTTTCACCTGGATGTTGTCTCAAAATTTTCCCTACCTTTGGGAAGTGGGATTTTAGCTATATACTAACTCTGAACAATCCTGTTGTGGTTGTTCTGATACATACCAGTCTTCTTCACTGAAATAATTTTCAATCAAAATATTAACTTGTCCGAAAACATTATGCAGGTTGACACCGTCCGCCCTTCATTGTTTCTTCAAGCAGCTTTCACGACCAATGACTCGCAACATTTGGCAGCAGTTTTAAGATTCTTGTTGGATTTCACTCCTGGCTTCAAAAATACCTCAGATTACAGTAGATACCATCAAATTCTCACTGAAATGAACTCTTGTGCTTCTGCTTGAGATTGCAGAGAATGGGTCGTTTTATCGATCGCACAGCAGATCAGACCATGTGCTTTGGAGGCTCTTACCATTTCTTGAGATGGAAATGTCTGATGTTGTCAACATCCCGAGATAATTACAGATGATGGTAAGTGCTTTTAGATTATCTTTGACCATTTTTATGGCCAAAATGACACTTTTTTTTGGGGGGGAATATTATTTGAGTTGAGTTGAGTTGTAACTATAACTTAGTTAAGTATTAGAGAAAAGGTCCAAGTATATTTGCATTTTGGAGCTTGAAACAAGCAAACTAATAAAAAAAACAAAAAAAAAGTTGTACACAAACTTGTTCAAACAAAAATGGATAGTTCTTCATCCTAGAGAGAAATTTGATGGTGCTGGCACTGCCTAAGAAACCCGATGGACGCTCTATGTTTGTAGCTGTCGTGGTGCTATAATTGAGCGTCATGACACTGCCTTCTCAGAGAATGACTTTGAGCTGGATCTGTAGGTGCCATGGCACCCAATTGATAGCGCCACGGCACTATACTCTCGAATTCTTGCTCATTTCTTCATGTTGCAAAGGGGCACTCTAGTAATTTCGTGAACTTAGTGTGCTAATATTACTAGAATAATACTTTCTTATTTCTAGCTAATTACAAATATAGTGTGTTGATAACATTTTAATTGAAACGAGAATAAATTTTAATTTATTTTACCTACTATTTTATTGATAGTAATATTTTGTATTTTAACCATTTATTTAATAGTAATAAATAATTAATAATTAAAACAAAATTAATAATAATGAATTGTGTTTTAATAATTTATTGATATTAACTAATAATAATGAAATAAAATTAAATCGAAAGTTGTAATATTTTATAATAAAATCACATCAACTAAAAAAAAGCTCGAGCAATGAAAAAAAACTTTTTTAGGGCAAATAAATAAAAAAGAGTAATATTGTAAAATGATTAATAAAAAAGGTTATGAGTAGACAAGAGAGTATAAAAATTGTAAACTCTTTTAGGGCAAATAAATAAAAAAGAGTAATATTGTAAAATAATTAATAAAAAAGGCTATGAGTAGACAAGAGAGGATAAAAATTGTAAAATAATTATGAAAAGGGTTTAGGGCTTACTAAATAAGAAAAGAGTAATACTTTTCAACTAGGGAAGATATTATTATTATTATTATTTTGACAACCGGGAGTCACCTATACCTGGGGCACCTGTGTTACCCTAAGACTCAGATTCGAGAGACATCAAGAGTTTTTTGATATTAAAATCACCAGAAAGCTTTGAATTTGCTAAGGTCACCAGAAAAGTTTGAATTTGTTAGTATGACAAAGAGATTTCAAGCCTTTGTCAATTAAACAAGATTACCCATTTTTAAGAGGCATTTTTCAAGTGTGGGGTATAATTGATTCTATTCCAATATTTTTATTTTCATTTTCTTTTCCTTAAAATATACGTTGCCTTTTATTTATTTATTTATTTTTTTAACTAAACCTTACAAACCTTACCAATTATATTTTCTGCTATATATTTAACCTAAAGATTGTCAAGTAAAGAAAGAGGTATATAATAATTGAGTTGTGGATTAATTTGTGAAAATAAAATATTTTATTGAGAGTTTGACATATATTCACAATCCACCTGATCTAGCAAGGCAACTTTAAAAGATGAGTAATTTGTGAGAGGGTGCATATATGGACCTATATAAGTACTCAAATGACTTCAATAATCGTAACAAAGATGAAACTTATTTATGAATAAAGTTACCTATGCCTATTAATTTTAATGGACCATCCTATCACAATTATCTTAGCGTTTAAAATCTATCATCGTTCAAAAAGCAAAGGTAGGATAAATCAATGCAATTTAGGAGGACTCAATGAAAGGACGTCAATTCAACAAATTATTTATCAATGATCGAAGAATACGAACTTTCTACTTATGATCGTCACGAATAATTGACCTATAATCAATTTCACTGCACACCCTCATTATTAATACTCAATGATATTGGTATAATGTTCATATGATAAACTAGGACAATAAAATAAAATTAAGTGATGGGCAAAAACAACCTCCTAATAGGAAAGATACTCCTTCTAGTCTATGAGTTTTTTAGTTTAGTTTTCATTTTGACCATGTAAACATATAAATAATTTAAATTAATATTAAATGGACCCATCAGCCTTATCAATTAAGGTTATTAATAGTTTTTTATTTTTATTTTTTTATATCAGGCACCAAAAGTGAGCATTATTGAAAATTTAGAAGAGTACGTATAAAGTGTAATATTTTAAAACTTAGGAACGAAACTCATGAAAACTAAATCTTGATAGAATATTTTGAAATTTAGGAACACAATAGAAGTTAATTAAGCTCAAAACTCAAACTGTAACATTTTCAAATTTACAAAATAAATAGAAATGCCACTAGAAAATCTAAAAAGAAATATAATCTAATGTGAAGGATTTAACAAAAGTGAGAATCTTAAAAGAAGAATTAGTCAATGTATGGAGCTAAAATCATTCATTAAGAATCTTCTGCCAAAAGATCTTCTATTTAATGAGACTTTTTTTTCCCCTCTTTTTCGAGTCAAGATCAAACCAAAAACAAAACCCCACAACATTCACTTCCAAGTAATCATGAAATGTCTTGTATTATTTTTCATTACCTCGGACCACACTAGAAAAAAAAACATATCCTCTCCTTAAAACCAATATCTTCTTTCAAGAACATCAAACAATAATGTTTTAACTTTATCAAGAGTTTGATCACAACCTAAAATTAGCCCTTTGGGCATCTTCAGTCTTTCTCTGTCTTGTTCTTTGGTGTGAGTCGTCAAGCTATATTGTGGTTGGGCTAGCTATTGGCTTTGTCTTTACGTGCATCATTAACCGAGTTCGGATGCAATACGCCTTTCTCGAGGAACATCATATGACTTGTCCTTTCACTTTGAAGACTTTTAGATAATCCCTCTTAGTTTTGAGTAGGATCAAATCGAGACAATTTTAAAAAGTTCTCCAATCCTTTGAATAATTTTAGATAATCCCCTGAGTTAATTTTAAGTAGGGGACCATGCTAAAAGGTTTCTTAATTATGATGAGGGAATAGACTATCAGCCTATTATTCAAAAGATATCTCAAGTCGGGAATCCCTACAAACACTCTATAAAGTATCCGAAGTTCTGAAAATGACAATTGATTCGCTTAGTTCAAGCTCAAGTCCTTGCTTTTCTTTGAATGGATATCCCTAATGAGGAAAGAGCTATATACTACCTTTTTTTCTACAAAATTTTCTCAACACAAAGAAAGCTCATCAAATGAATTATTCTCTACACCGATCTCAAGACTCAAGGTTCTTGCCATTGCGTCATCTCCAGGACAATTATACATATAATTTTCAAATTCTTAATTTGAATGTGCATTGCTTTTAAACATTTAATGAATTAGTGCAATATCTCTCCTATTACACTACCCTTGTTAAGATTTGAATTTTCTATGCAACAAACTTTAACTTCTAATAAAGAGAGGAAATTATTGCTATACAACCTTCATGGTTGAATTTCACAACTTCTTCTTCATTTTAATAGAAAAATACCCTTTTTGAAAACAACAAGGAATTATTACCATAAGTGGGAAAACTATTAAAGGGCATAACCCCACCACCTCTTTTTTTCCTTTTTTCCCCCAAACTATTCAAAATTGCTATAAATCTCCCATTAATAGTCTAAGGTTCCACAGTGTTGTTTAGGGGGAAATGACAGATAAGATTATTCTACATGCATTTTTTTGGTGATGTTACCATGTGGGTTGCAATTATTATTGTATATAATTGGAAATTGAAAAGTGAGAAATTGGAAAATCTCCTAGGTTACACAATTGAAGAAGATAACAGTTAGTTGACCAATCACTATTAAGAGAAGGCTAGGCAGGAGACAGATGTCATTTTCCACAAAGAAAGAAGAAAAAAAAAAACCTTGAAGAAACAATGCCCTTTATCAATAAATGATTGGTTAAAAAAAAAATATATGTAAAGGGAAAATCAGATCCAATTATTGTGGTATCTATGGAAGCTTTTGGATTGCTTTAAATTTCTCCATAAATCTTATACCCATAACTGGTTACATCTCCAGCTGTGAATGCCTGCCAATTGCCCCTACAAGTTCTTCTCATAAATGTTACCCACTTCTTCTAGTTTTTTACCTAAAATTGATTTGGGGGAGAGAGAGATGTGTTATTCCATCGGAAAATGTTGTTTAGATATATATATAAAAGATTAAATTGAACGTATGTTCCATTTTTGTGCTTGGGTCAATCACGTAGTTAGTGAGGTTCTAATTGAGACACGTTTATTGCTGGTTGAAATTTAACGTATGATCCATATTGACTTAAAATTTTTGAGTTTATTGGTGATTTAACATGGTATTAGAGCGAGGATCTTGTCCTTTTTTTATTACTCGTGAGTCGGCGACCCTTTGGCCTATATGCCTTTATATCTGGGGGTATCCGTATTGTCCCCATACTTGTACATAACAAGGAGTTATAGCTTGGTGGAAGTTTTAAATCTCAGTACAAAATCCTTTTTTTTTTCCCATTTAATATTGATTACCACAGCTTTTGGATTGATGGTTGATTTAAGAGTTTTAGGCTATATATAATAGATCCCTTGAATTCTGGAAATGGGAAATTTTTTTAAAGGTCAAATTAATTATGATTATATTTCTTCAATTCTCTATACTTTGATAGTAACATATCGTTTTAGTCCTCATATTGCTTTTATTATTTAAATAGTAACAAGGGAATTGACACTTTAAGTTATGTGTGCTGTCATGTCAGCTAACTTTCATGTATTTGTATAATAATGAGAATGAAATAAATGAAAGGCTAAATATATGTTATTTCTATAATGTTTAAAAAGTTTCGATTGTTTTTAACATTTTCCAATTTAGTCCTTCCCCATTGTTAAATATTAAAATTTGGTTGATGATAAATTTAGGAGGATGAAAAATGTCACCTAGGTTAAACAAATTTCTAATAATTCCTCCAAATCGAAAAAATTGGCAGATGTTTTGAATCTTCTTCTATTGATGTCTTTTTTTATTCTCTAAATTTTTGCCAATTCTCTAAGTATTGTGCTATTTATGTAAGTTTATCATTAATCAATTTTCACGCACACCAACCACAAAGGACTAAATTGAAAAGGGACCAAAACATATATACCATTAACCTAAATGAAAACACATGATCCAAAAAGCCAAAGTAGACTTAGAAAGGGGAAAAAACATAAGACCCCATAAATATTTTGTCTAGTGATAGGGTTTT